TACTTTATAGATAACTAATATTTTGCAAATGCCAACCACGATGTACTATCTTTAGTCTAGAGGCAGTATAACACCAATCGTGGTCCGCATTTGCAAAATATTAGTGCGTTTTGAAACCTATAAAAAAGAAAGTGTCGCAACCTTTTAGTGAGCGAGTGTACAACTTTTTAAAATTCTAGTTCCAATATCATGATTATTACTCACATTACAATTATTCTGTTAAATTTATGTTTAAAAAAAAATGTGAAAGGATACGACTACCGGTAGCGACGGTATACCAAGCCACGTTCCGAGCGGTAACGTAATGCTGTCCGCTATTTTCGACGGCTGTAACGTAAGAAATTTTTAGAACAATTTCTCAGAAATATTTGGCGACGCTAAAGATCTTCCAATTTTACTACCAATAAACTGTGCAAAAACATTTACCAGATCCTTCGCCGAATTATTCAGTGCGAGCGCAGCTAGCGAATGTCCTCTGAGGTGCAGCCAGACGTTATATTTGTCACATATCGCTCGTAATCGCGTAATATTGTCGCAATGTCCCGTCAACACCGAGCCGGCTTCGGCTAGGACGAGCAACGGCGTTACGTTGTTCGACTGAGTGTCCTCCGCTAAGCGTCGTTCCAGCGCTGAGACGTCCATAGTATGCCTCGAGCCGAACATAGTGTTATGCGGGATTGGTCTTATGCAATGAAGCGGCAAGGAGAGCTGTGAAAGTACAACAAATTTTTAACGTGTTTTATATATCAATCAGCGTTTCTCCCGATTTTTTTCTTTAGACAGACTTTCTTTGTCGCAAAGAATCATTTCATTTGATCACAAAATATATCAAGCTTTTTTAAATTGAACAGAATTTGAACTGAATTGAGTTCTTATATACTTGGCTCCAACATGCACATGAGAGAGGTAAGCTCGAGGGGTACTACCTGTCTGCACAAATGCTGCACGACGCCCATGGGTGCAGCGACGGAGCTGTAAATCAGGGGAGGCTGAGACACGAGGGCGGTGAAGCCCTCCTCCATGTACCGCGGGTATTTCCGATGTAGGGCGAGCCGCGTCACCCTGACCAGCCCCTCGAGGTGGTCCTCGTGGAAGGAGGAGGCGCAGTCGACGAAGCGGAAGATGTGGCTGAGCCATCTCGTCGTGTCGGCCGCGAGGCGACCCGCGAGCTTCTGCGCGTGTGTCTTCGGTAACGCTACCGCGTAAGCCGAGACGGTATGCGTGATTAAGGCCAATTTCGCCGCTTCGGATAGGGTTGGCAGAGCGGTGATCTGACTGATCGGCGAGTCCGTGGATCCTGGCTCGGCTAGTTGCGGCGCGTCCTCATGAACTACCAAATCCTAAATAGAAATTTCTGAGATCAAGTTTTATATAAGAGTCAGG